TTTAGCTAAGATTCCAGTCTATCTAACTGCTAGAACTGGATCATTATCCTCATTTTCATCTAGTGAAAGGGCACTTTCGGCTTGGCATGCTTGTTTGAGCCGTACAGTTAAATTCCTAACCAGAGCTATACCTCCATCCTTAAGATTTACCAGTACCCGGTTTGTCATTTTTGCTGATGTCCATCCACTATAAAACTCGTAACACAAAGTTGCTATTGCAATGCTTTCTGCAAAACCATTCTCGGGGCTTCTTAGTAATTAGTTAAGGAATGTGCTGATGTCAAACATATCGTCCCACTAGCACCAAACATCCTGCTATTGTTGAGTCACGTAGGATGAAACTACTGGCAGCTGCTGTTCACATTTTCGTCTTGTTGTTTCCTCTGGTCTGTAAAGTTTCACGCGTAGGTCCTGCACATTAATGTGGAACAGTGGTTTAGAAGTTAAGGCGTTCGACTTTTAGCCAGTTTTGAACCCCACACCACCAACTTCAGCCTGGGCAATTGAGTGGTATCACTAACCCTCATACCTAAATTGTGGCTCATATCCAAGTATCCGATGAATAATTTAACTTATTCTCGTACATTGATGCGTGGTATTCGATAACCACATGACCATTCTTAACTTTGAATAACAGAAATTCGATCGCTTTATCGAATAGTACCCTGTAATTTTTAAAAATTCCTTTTTAGAATATGTTTAGACTGTTTCCGCTTCAAGTCAAACATTTAGTCATTTGGTAGATTGTTCTGGAACACACGGTAACCCCAAAATGGACTTCCTCACTTGTGCTTCATGCATGAGAAATGGAATATGTTTACCTGTTACAATTGTCAAATGTATGGTGGAAAACGAGTTAATTTTTTGTCAAAATAAAGAGGTAAAAGTGAAATTATATTATTATAGTACTTGCTAGTGCATACACTATTTTCTACCATTGAATTTTCTATCTTCTAAACATGAATCAACTGGTGAGTGTAAATATCCTGCCGGTAAACAGTTATTGTTTCAATTAGTTGGTTTTTCTTTCGTTTCTCATATTGTAATTGTTGCGTAAGCTTCGTCCTTGGTCGGCGTGTTCTCATGACATATACTGTCCTGACAGAACACTGCCTTTTTTCTTTTCCAAGGTTTATTAGCATGTCCGAACATGTGTTGTGTCAGACAATATAAAGTTTCTCGAAGTTTCAGAAAGTAAGTCTACGTTTTTTTATTGATGAATCCTTGTCGTTTCAGCTTTAAAATTGTTATTTGACTTAGTCCTGATTATTTGTAAGATAATAAATTCTTCAAGCCTTTTCTAAACAAATAATTTAATATGTATACTTGTTTATGTTATGGATTAGTATTTTAATGAACGGATTTCTGATTGCTAAAATAAAAGAAAATTATGTTGATCAATCGATTATATGCAATGGTGCAATATGACAGTAGTAACCAAATTATTGACGTAAGCCGTCGAATGATTTTAGTTTAAAGACAAAACTACCAGCCAAAAGAAAAGGTTTTCTCTTTAGTAAGATAACATACTTATATACAGAGTATTGCCAGAATAAACACAGCAAAAGTTCGTAGGCGATTTAAGGAAATCAGTTTGTAGGTCACTCACCGTCCAATAAATCGAGACTTAACTGTTAGGCACAATTCTTGGGAATCATATCAATTTATTATGAGACCACTTACACGAATGAATCAAAATTTTGCTACTCATTGGTTATTTTTGCAAAGTTACCCATATGTTGGCTGAAATTCGGGTTTTCATAGTCAGTCGATCACAGTCTAACAGAAGTAATATAAAGAATATCTGAAATAGTTTCGCTGAATGGTTGTCAGATTCTATTGTAAGCTACTATTTAATTGCTATTTTAAGAATCAAACGTAAAAAATAAACGATACTATCAAGTGACCTTACGATCTTAGCCCATTTCAGTCAGTCATCAAACAACAAATATCGACGAATTATAATGCAAAATCAAAGAATTTACGAAGAATATACTGCTTTCGCATTAATTATCGACGTTTCTAAGTTTGCTGTGTGTTCTTAATCGTGTATATGTACACACTAACTCCTAATTGTAACCCTAAATCTATTTTTAGCATAATCTTAATCCTAACCCTAAACACAACTCTTAACTGTATTCTTAACCCAAAGTTCTAATCAACACTACAGGTAAATGTTAATCCATCTTGTGTCTCTACACACTCATTCATCGTCATTTCATTCCTATACTCACATGTATTCTCTTCAGCGATGTTTTCCCCAATAAAATTGGTTGTTTTTCGGTTCATAAGTAACATTTAGGTTTTATATGGTTCGATAAATATTATCCTCGATCGACAAATGCGTCATAGCTTTGAAGTTGCTTTCTCGAACCTCACATATTCAGCATTATACTTAAACTTAACCAAATCAAGCTTTATTTTCATACTGAATTGATTATTATGGAACGATAAAACTTGCGGGCAATGACTAAGCATTCTGATCCTGCTTCGGTTTGGGCACTCGGGCAGTATCACAGCCCTCACACATATCAAATGAGATTTGTGTGGCGCATATGTATTTGGTGCCTCTTTGTACCAATATCTATGTGTTAAAATAAATAAATTAGCATTCTGATTTATAATCTTCTGGATGACATCATTCTATATATTATCACTGGCTTTAATGTAAAAACTAAGATTGGGGTTTCTAGAAGTATGCAAAAAACTATGCATTTCAGTTGGTATATTTAATATATATTTTTCTTATTGCAACTAATAAGTAAAATGCATTGACTATATATAAACACATCATTTATTATCGTTCTACATTCCAGGGCCCTTTTAAGTTATGGATTTTAGACATACATTAAATTACTACGTATATCTCTTGTATAACAATCTCTTGTGCGTTATTTTTTACACAGCTCCTGGCTAATTAACGAAGTACTGGAACATCACATTTGGTTGATCACCAGATATTCTTCCCAATAATTTTTTATTTTACGTAGTCATCTTTTTTCCGATATACCAATATTCTGTTCACACCAAGTTTGCTTTGGTCAGGAGGTCCACTTATCGATTTAGAATACGCAGATGACAGTCCTGTTTGGTGAAGACGCTGATAAAATGCAAAGTCGTTGCTTCAGGATTGGCCTGCGTCAACACCTGAATTAAGGATACAGAGTGAATTAGTCGAACGCGTCAACAACTCCACTTATCTTGGAAGTTTGATCACCCCCAATGGGTGACACAATGTATACTGACCACCTCTCCGCGTTTTCCAACTAGTCCCAGCGTCGGAAATTGACGCATGACGTGGAATTTTCTGGGATGACATTCGTAGAACAAGTCCAAGTCACCGAAGTCGATGTTTCAAAATAGTGACACCAATTGAACTACAGTCTCTGTGCCCGAACACACGATGCTGAACCTCTGCATTACTAACATGGTGTTGCCACTGGATGTCAACAATTCTTCGGAGATAGTGATGATCAAACACAGAGTCGTCTAACATCCTCAACTCGGAGAGGTCAGGTTTCACAAGCATAGAGCAGAACTGCTCTCACCGACGAGTTGTAGACCCGACCTTTTACAGCCGGACTAACATCACGAAGGCGCCAGAGATGGCCCAGATTGGCATAAGCCGCTCTGGCTTTCACTATACGTGCATTGATCTCATCACTCACGCCACCACCAGCACTTATGCAGCTACCTAGATACATGAACTTCCCGACTATTTCTATTTGCTCACTACCCAGGGTGAGTACTGAACCAGAGTCCTGCCAGTCTTGTAAAAGTACTTTGCGCTTAGAAGATGCGAAGCATATACCATACCTACGGACACTGATTGCCAACTGATTAAGTGTGGTTTGCATGCCTTGGGCATTATCGCACAGTAAGACAATATAATCTGCATATTCAAGGTCGAGAAGTCTTTCTCCAGGCAACAGATCCACACCGCCATTACTTACATCCATCAGTGCTGTTTCCAGAATGTCATCGATAGAAAAGTTGAAGAGGAATAGTGAGATTAGGCAATCCTGCCTAACCCCACTGCTCGAATGAAACAATGGGGAGAGGTGCTTTGGTGTATACACTCTTTGTCTTTCCTTAGACCATGAAATTAAAATTGCTTTATATCTTTCCTTTTATGAACTAATTCTTTTTTCCTGCACTATATCGTTACATACAATCTTTCTTTTATATATTGCTACCATTGAAGTAACTACTTCTATGAATTTAGTGTTTATCTGGTTTTGCTAATGAGGTGTGGCAACTTGGACCGATGCATGTATGTGCCTGGTCCTAGGTTGTAGCTGACTGACTGCTTTGGTCATGCTTATCTTCACTTTGGTGATTGTGTGAGACGTTTCTAAGTAGTTGATGTTGAATTCAGGCATAAAAACATGTAGTTAGATACACATTTTGAGTGGCATTTTTTGGACAGTTTTCAACAGCAGTTCACTGTTTATGAAATTGCAAACCATTCAAGACTTATATATACTAATGTACATAGTTAATTAAGAATTGTAAAATATCACTAAGCCGGATTAGGAACCGTGCACAAATCTTTGCTGCGTTCTATCTGTATTCTCATTCTTTAAATGTTAGCCAGTTCCATTTTGTGTTCATAATTTTCAGCTTCGAATTCATTTTAAAGAACAGAACTTTAGTCAAAACTTAATAATTATTTGACAGTATGAATAGTTTAAGCTTTAAAGTAGTCACACTGGTGAAAATTTCCAGTTTTTAATATTTGCTTAATTATTCTCTTTAATAATGAATATTGTAATGGATTAAAATCAAGTACTTAATACATCATTTTTGATTTCCCAGTATCTCTTCATACTGACCACCACGAAGCTAAAGACGAGTTGGAATGGACAACTGAAGTGTTTCATGCTCCATTAAGATCGGACACCTTGTTCAGTACCAAGTCAAGTGGAGAAGTTACAATCACGACAGATACTGCTTTCAACTTGCACCCCTTCGAAAATGTGACTCCCGAAACTAAAAATATGACTTCCAAATTTTCTAATACTATTGTGACAAATGGAACTTATTCTTTATCTACATCACATCCTGGTTTTCGAACCACTTATAGTCATTACAAGCGATCCATTTTACGACAAGTAAGACGTCAAGCAGATAACCTTCGATTAAAACTTGTTAAAGAACGTCGTACAATAAAAAGTCACGGACGATTTGCTGGTCCACTCCTGTCCACAAGACAACTCTCTGTGTAGCTTAAATGTACATGCTCTACTGATCGTATTAATTTTGTAAGTATATTGTACATAGTTCACATAAAATTGGTTTCATTTTGTTACCTAAAGGTTTTTTTATAGGGGCAAACACATATTAGGTTGACGATAGCAAGACGTTTAGTCCAAAACGACTATTCTCTGTTGCATGTGAAATTATGTTTCTGGCAGTTCCCTAGCACACTCAGTCTTTCTCATACTTCAAAGTATCAATTACAAGTTGGATAGCATGAAATTCAAAGACAATCTTTAGTGTCTCTTCTATATTATTCTCCGAAAATATCATCCACAAGTTTCCCGAAGCTTGCTATGAGATTATTGTTAATGACTGAGGCCTCAAAATTTCTGTACTTAGACGCTGATTTGAATCCGACCTTACCCATTAGAAACACATTTTTAATCGATGCTTTAGTTTAAGAACAATGACAAAGAACAGTATAATTACTTGACTTTAACTTCATAGTGCTGGGATTTTTCTCGAGCGGTGGAGTAACATAAAGTCTAACAGCAAAGCTGTTATTGATTGGATCCTAGATGGTAGTTGGTTGTATAATGGTTAACCGAATACTGCTGTGGAAACTGATGGGCTTCGATGTATATTTCCTACTTTCCACCACTTGGTTTCCGTTTGAGCGACTTCGAAGATATTTCTTCACAGCTCTTATATAAACCTTTAAAACGCCAAACACATGTAGCTGCTGAAACTGGATTTGATGTACGAATAGAGAATAGATCAATCAAAAAGGTATCTGCATCATATTATTACGAGTTTTGACTTGTAAATGTTATTTAAAAGGGCATTCTAAGATAAATTTATTTCCCATTCTAATGAAGTCTCCATCATTTAGTCATGAGAACCGAAATGGAAATAATCTTCGTAAATCATAGGAAAGATCGTGAGGGGTTTTTGTCATACTTTAGCATAATATTCGTACGGCCGAGATATACTCGACTATGTACAATGTATCATGCGTTCTCAATTCTTTACAAAATAAGAACATTACAGAAAAATCAACCAAAATTTATATTTTCTTTTTTAAAGGCTAATAATAATCTAAGAAAGTCATCTTCGTCCAAAGTACGGGCGCGCTTTTTCTCGAAACCTGAATCTCGAAGTATATTTGTTATTTTCTCCTCCATTGCTGAAACACCAGTAGACTCACAGGCAATAACCTCTGGAGTTGGTGACAATCCTTTTGTGCAACAAGTCTCCATGTAAATCTTACGTAAATGTGCAGCTATTGACTTGCCACTAAAGTTAGCTCCGATCGTTTTGTTTTTGCGAGCAAACACAAGACGCAGTAATCCATCCCATTCTGAATGCATCACAGGTGGTAATGGATGCCTGGGCTCAATCCGAACAACAGCTGAATCAACACGCGGTGGGGGGCGAAAACTGTTTCTATTGATCTAATATTTAAAATAAATTGTAAGAGGTTTATTTAGCGGGTTGTTTGTGATATTTGAACATACTTACAATGAAGGAATAGTATACATAAGGGTTAAACATCTTAAAATGGTGTAAGCTGTGACATGAAAAACTGAAATAGTAGTGAAGTTTTGTACATGCGGTGTTAATTCCTGACATTTTCGTATATCTTGTTGCCGTCTTCTAACACGTACGAGTATTCGAATGATAAATTATTCTGGGTGCACAGTTTAGCTTCCTAGCGTACCTAACAGTTTAAAATAAGCTCAATCGCTGACTTAACAGTATGCATTAAAATAACGGATTATACCCTAATCCAGTGGGGGAAAGAACATGGATATGCATCTTTGATCATTTTTCGCTTACCTTCTTCCTTATATGTTAAATGATTTCATTTTGCGAATTATTACCAGAGCGACATTTGAAAAATACAAATGAGAAATTTAGCCGAGATGTAGTTAATGATACGTAAATAAAAAAGAACTCCATTTGAGTGCTCGACCCAAACTATCATCATTTACTCTTTACGTTTAAATCATCATCATGAGATAAAACCTTAAAAGATTAGAAGCACGAATGTATGGTAGGAATTCAAATCTATTGACAGTAAATAGTGACCTTAGATAACCTTCCATGCAATTCTTGAAAGGGTCTAGTGGCCTTTGGACAACATTTACAGTAACCCAAATATTTATAACTACAAATAAATAGAGTTACAGTGTATGTTTATCAAACGTTTAAAAAAATTAGGAGTGAGCAGCTATGTTAACGCAAACTTTTGAAACTCCTAGTAGACGAGATATTTCGTTCCATTTGTATGGTTAGTACAAACGCAATTAGCTCCTAGTTTACTAGTTATACTTATCTGATTTTAATTAATATTCACACCCATTATAATCTTTAAGTATTTCCGAAAATTTCCAGCATTAGTAAACTTTGAGTAGCCTTTCGGTAGCGAAAAGTCCTTCGTTTTCCAAATAAGTCAAATTAAGCGGAATGTAAAGAATCAGTAATGTTACTTGATGCTGGGATTTACTCAGTAAACTTCCTATAAATAACATATTTTTAAACTCATTTCAATGCTACTATATTTCTGAAAACCTACGTTTATTAAAAACCGAACGCGTCTGATGACAGGTTGCTCAAGAATATTCTGATCTTTAAGCGGTATGAACTAATTCTAGACGGTTTCACTTTGGAGTCAGAACTAGTCAAGTGGATTCGTCCACCGTAAATTTGTCGCTCTGATAATTAGAGTGTCTCATTGTCGTTGAATAAGAATAAACAGAATTTGCTTTTTTGATAAAATAATTTACTTAAGCTGTACATTCGTATTTATAGTTGTGATTCGAGTTTTTAAATACCAACAGGTCGCGTGATGACTGAGAGGCTAAAGAAGAGTGGTGGGATGAGAATAATTTATAGGCCTGAAGTATGAAAGATAAGTTTCCACCTAACATATATGAAGAAAAAGTAAAAAAACATTAAAGCCATAATAATAATAGTTGAAAAGTTTTAAATAGCGATTATATTTAACAACCTACCTTCATCAACTGTTCAATTTTGAAGTGGAACTGAGCAGATGCTGACAGACGACAGTATAATTTATCTCCAGGTTTAGCCGTAAGACGATCAGCGAATTCTTTCTGGAGCATAACAACTGCTGCTCTAAAACCACGACCTGCGCTAATCAGTCTTTGGATGAATGGCGAGGAGATTTTATACGGCAGGTTCGCTACACAGAGATCGAACTTGGGCCATGATTTTGCTTTGATTGCATCGCCAACGAGAATTTCTAGTTTGGTTCGATGTGGTCTGACAAATATTTCATGAAAAGCACTGGCTTAAAACGTTTCTGCAATGCGTACATCCAGTGGAGTTAAAAAAAATGAGACGTAGCAGTGCATCAACCTAACACTGATAGTTACTAATATTACAAATGATTGTTTTGAATAGACGGATGATAGGTTAGACGGCTTATAGTTTTAGGAGTAATTACTTATACAGTTTTTGACGCAAATAATTGATGATTCGGATAGACGCCTCAAGCGACTTCGCGAACGCGTAAATTAGGCATAAGGTAAAAGCAAACAGAACTAGAGAAGAATTAAGTGAACAACAGAGCCAAATCGTCTAAGTATCTGGATTTAAATAAATGGAAAACTGTACAATATGAGAATTGCATTGTTACTACTTGTGAAGCTTTTGCCAACGTTGATAAGTTATAACAAAACAGAAAAGTAACCTGATCATACAAGAAATGTTAACCGAAACGGTTGTGATCAAATCTATTTGTAAAAATGTAATTTTGAGTGGTTCTCATAAAACTGTCAAACAGGGAGGTCGGTATATAAAAAAAAATACGGAGAATCCTTAAGTAGGAGAAGAATTCTAGTGACTTCAGAGACAGGAACTAATGGGGATAGTGACTTACCTTGCACGTTAATCAATCAAACTACATTTTACTGTAAATGTGTTTTATATCACCTTAACATCCTCTCTTGTTCTGTCCCCATGTACCTTACAATTTTTTTACATCTAAATTTTCGACTCGTTCAATTGTAGATCTCAGTTGAGAACTCTGTTCTGTCCAAATGATACTAAGTCATTGAATGGTTACTTTCGGAAGCTGTTATTGAATCTGACTTATGGTACAACTATTTAGAAACAAAATGAACTACTTAGAATCGACTCCTTTTAGTGTTTACGACCTTTGTTTTGAGAACGTCCATTTTGATCGTCATTGTCTTTGAAGGGCTGCTCATATCCAGTAACAATGCTGTGTGAGTAACGGTGTGGCCTAGAAATGTGTATTTGCCCATAGTGATGACAGTTCAAATGACTAGCTCCTGGGAACTGTAAACGTTTATTGGTTACAGCTGAAGTAACTAACACACCATAACGGTACGTTAATTTGACTACTATTTGATACATCGTTACCTTCAGTGTTGGAACTTACATCATCAGGTTTATATACACGTTGAGTTAACCGAGGGACTAAACTACATGTATTCATATGTATTCAACACAAACATCAAATGTGAATCATCATCCTTAAGAAAATGGTGATATATTAAAGGTAATGGTGTTGTCATGAGACCAATCTTGCTGTATAGAGTTGACTGTCTAAAACCTCTATATGTACTGCACAACAGCCACAAAACCGACAACTGAAACATGGACACAAGGGTAGGGATATTAGTAAGAGTTGGTAACCACAGCATTTAATAATTAATTATTACACCGACACCTAAGAGTTGATATGGTCACTTGTAGATTCACATGAACGTTTGTTACTATAAAGTTAGGGAAGTCCAAGTGGGGACTCACAGTTTCACTAACTACTTGACTTTGAGCCACACCCTAAGTGTGAGAGCTGTCGATACTACAGGTCTGAGGAAGCCACCGGTTCGAAACCCACCCCACTTACGTTAATCGGGTAGTACTGACAGCCTACACACGCCAGGGTTCAAAGTCAAATATACGAATGTATAACTGGTTGACGAATTAATAATATTAATAACATCCAGTGCCTAGTCACGTAAGACAGAAATTATTAAACGGTTTACTGGTTGTTACATGATTATAGGAATCATGTACAGGAACTTACGAGGTTTGCACACGTTTTTGCAATTCAGAAACCATTCTTGGATCTATTTCGAATGCGTACACTTTCCTTCCCTTTTCTAACAACTTGACAGTGAGGTTACCAGTTCCAGAACCAATTTCAAGCAAGGAGTCTGTGGACTTGATACCAGACTTTTCCACCATTGTGGTAATAACGAGGGGATTTTTCAGTATATGCTGACCCTTTGTCTTCTGAAAACGGATACCACCTGTTTTAATAGCTAAACCAGAAGAATCACATTTTGGTTTGACCATAGTACATGCTTTCTTCGAACGCCAAGCCACTGATGGGTTTATTTGTGCCCTGTAACTTCTTTCAAGATGAGGGTGAGAAATGAGTGTGAAAATCTTGAACAGAAAAGTGTGAGTTAAAATACGACACTGAAGTAGAAACTACACTAAACTCTGTATTGTGAACGAATATAAACAACAATGAAACTACTTCTAAAAGGTTTCAACTCAGGATAAAAATAACACCACCCTTCGTTTTTATAGCAACCCAGTCTTTTTCATTTTCATGTTTTTAAGTGAGATTTGGTAGAGCTACTTCCTAACGTGTAGGTTATTGTCGCATTATTTAGAGCATATAGTGTTAGAAAACGCTTTATCTCGACCTTTAAATATAAGTCTCCCGTCTACTATGTCGTTAATGGGGTGCATAATTGATTCATGAAGACAACGGACTGTTGACAAAAAACGCTTCGAGAATGTACATGAACTCTGAGGAAATTTAAGCGACGTCTAAGGAAGTGTACGTAGAATTTTCAGGATGTGCGTGGAATTCGGGAAGTAGCGTTGAATTTCTCCTCAGGGCAAGGGACAAAGGCCACAAAAGTGGATGTTTTCGCTGAAATTCTATACACGTTACGCAAAATATCAAGCATGATTACTTAGGTCGAAATGAATGAGAACCTGAGCAGGAAAATGGGAACGACGAGAGCATGATAAATTTTACACTGAAGGCACTAAAGATAGCCACAGAATATCTGTTTCATTTCAAGGCAGAAATATATAGGAATTACTAGTTATGAGTGAGACACACCGTCTTTTGAAAAACCGTCAAGGCTAAAACCGAAGTCCAATGTTCTTGTGACGTGTTCGTGTAATTTTATTGGTTTCTTTTCACTTGCTTTTTAGACACGGACCAATTTCCACTGTAATGTTGGATGATTTTTAGTCTGGCCATTCGACTGCAGTAGTTTTAGCTAGTTTGGTTGCTATTTGCAGGTTTCGAAGTTTGTCAATGGATCATTTGGTTGGAATCGTCATTGTAGTAAATCCCTCAATGAGATACACGTAAGTTCTCTGCTCGAATAACTTCTGTCCAGCTGCAACTGTTCAAGTTAAGGTAGTGATCCAACTAACAATTGATCAATATTTTCAAATCAAAGATCGTTTCTATCTTATCGTGTTATTAGTGTTATAATTTGTACATCATGTAACCTGAGTGGATGAGCTTGTCCCAGGACAGTAAGTTTTCTGAAACCAGCACCTATCACTTTAATAGTGTGCAATATGAAAAAATAAGCAGAATATTAAGGTCTAATTAGAAGACAATTTTCTCAAGAGATATATAAATATATAAATAAATTATTAATGCATACTGTATGAGAAGACCAAGGGTTAAGAATAAATGGATAAGTGGAGATCATTTGAAGCAAAATGGGAAGAAGTCACTGATTTGTGGTAGCGATGACAGTAAATTAGTTGCGACACTGAGTTAGGTAAAGCTAGATTAAGTGTTAGATGATAATACATGAGCGGGTTGTCACAATTGACTGACCACTGGGTGTCTCTGACTGTGAAGCTGGGTGACACGGGATTGGTACCACCAGGGGGCACCAGTCCTCTCAGGATTACAGGTACACCTTGCTGACGAGTACCAGGTAGCATGAAAGCCGGGTCCAGTGTTTCCTGTCGACTACCTCCAACCACCATCTAATGAGTGGGTTGTGTTTGTCATGTCTCTTCTTATAGATATCCGCTGGAACAGATGTCTCTTCGGCTGAAGTAGCGATTCTCAAGACCATTCTGAATGATGAAAAGTGGGAGCGTGACTGAGTATTTGCTCATTGATGTGAAGTTCTTCAAGGGTTGTCTTGAGGAGTTTGGTGAACATTTTCTGGTAAGATTTACGGGTTGAAGTGATTTGACGCATTTAGTATGCTACGTGTCACTAACAGAGGCAACCCCTACTTCACATCACCGTGAGTGACTGAAATATGCAGGGCGGTTTGTTGTTTTCTGGGCACATTTGCCGTATATATACCACCATATATGTGGGTTATGGATCCCGTAGTCACATTTTCAGCTGCTTCTGTGCTGGCTGTACAAATATGGATTGGTACGGTTGTCCTCTATCAGCATGAAGCCCTGCATCTGGCGTTTATTGATCTAGCTGATGTGTCCTTCCGCACTATGAGTACGCATTCGAGAGCAATGCTCAAGGGTGATTCAAAAAGAGCCTGTAGTGCAACCAGGATACTTCAGTGTTTCAGCAGTAGTGACTTGAAAAACCTCAGAAACCGCATTCGAATGCTCAGCAGCTGGTTCCATCTAATGATAAGGACGTGATTCAATTATTTCTGTCACATGCTTCCACAGCAAACGACATTTTCATCACGTAAGCATAGTTGAGTACCAAATTGACTAAGGTCTGTGAGTTCCACTTGCTATGTTCATTAGATTTCACCTGTCTGATATCAAATTCAATGCCGAATAACTCAAATGATTGCCGGGGTATATGAAGTTATAGGATTAGTAAGTTCTGTATATACCCTTTAATCCTGGTGTTAGACACCGATCTTAGAGACACAAGCCTCAGCAAAACAACTGTGTCAAAAGAGAAAGGAGACTTTTTAGCTTCTGGTTTGGAGTGCGAATGAAATGTAAGTGCTGGAACCATTAAGATTTGTTTGTTAAATTCAAGTGTTTGACACATACGATTTCCGTTGTACAGGTTTGTCTGAAAGTTTCGTCAACTGGTTGGTGCATGTGGATATAATGTTTCGAATTATTTGAATCATAGTATGAACTAGGAATCCCAGAAATAACGTAATCGGATCAAAAAGTACTAGATAAGCACGAACGAATGTACTGTATTTGGAATCTGAAATCAAGCATTCAACAAGTATCAAGGCTGTATCAGGTTTTCGATCATGACTAGGTTCATTCAACATATTTTCTTCAGAATTGCAATGAATTTCGTCAGAAATAAGTGAATCATTAGAAGAAACCATATCTGGTACAATAACATGAGAAATCTGATAAGTAGATTGATTAGAAACTGTTGTCTCGCAAGAATTCTGAGTTTCATTTAACTCTGAACTGCTATATGACTCTAAATTGTCTTTTGAAGTCGTTGTTAAAGATAAATGACCATTATAAATACTCAACTTAATAGAATCAGAATTACAAGACTTAATATTCGTTGCAGCAAGATGAACAGTAGTATTGCAAAATGACTGAATATGTCCAATACACCACATTTAAAGCACTCAGAATTACGAAATTTACATGAATTAAAAGAGTGGAACCTGCCACAGGACAAACATTGACCAAAATTGAGCCCGTCTTCGTGAACTGCATCGCAACTCCTCAATGAATCATCTGCATAACCTTGAGTATGAACTGGGTTGGGATGACGTAATGCAGTGGAATTTTTTTATATCCTCATGAATCATTTTATGGAATCTTCCTCCCTTACGACATTCGAAATTTGTATACTTAACATAGTCTAGCAGTAGATCCTCGAGAGTTGTACAAGAAATCGAAATGGGCTCTTCCGTTTAAGTCAGAGTTCTTAATAAGCTATATGCTTATTTTCCTATGGATATGAGGAAATGTGCTACAATATTAACATCCTCGTCATCTTCCTTGATCATAGCCCAGAGTTCGAACCTTTCGAAGTAATCCTCAAAAGCTTCAGAAGTTGAATGAACATCTAACTTTTCCATCACAAGCTCCATCGCGACGAAAATATAATGTTTCGAATTATTTGAATCATAGTATGAACTGGGAATCCGAGAAATAACGTTATGGGATCAAGAAGTACTAGATAAGCACGAACGAATGTACTGTATTTGGAATCCGAAGTCAAGCATTCAAGAAGTACAATGGTACCATTAATTTGTAGCGTGGCGTCGAGTCGAAATTGACTATGATAACAGCTACAAAGGGACGCGCGCCAGGATATCCATAAAATCCCCCGGAAGTGAAATATCAGAAGGCAGTTAATGGACCAAATCGAGATATATTTGCTGGTGATCTCGTGGTATCGAAATGATACCGAGATCGTGCCAGGATACAAACTTGGTTACAGAACGTAACCGAATTCGCGCGAGATCACAATCAAAGTGTAAGAATAATGGATGCTTTTTAGCACAGTTAAACAAAAGCACATTAAAACAGTCACTGGTACAATTGGTTATGATAATAATTGTTCTCGTGATAAAAGTGAGTCACTACAAGTTCATTCAAACACCACAGTGGATCACTGTTGAGTTTTAAGACGTTGAGGGGTATATTAATTTAATACAGCAATTATGGATTACTACTGACATCAATATATCTATTCAGTGAAAATTCCCATTTTGACATTTGATAAATAAAAAAGGAACGAATCGAGCGAAGAAATTTCTTTCCAATTAGTTTTTCATCATGGCTCTACACTAATAGATATATATAATTTACAATAATGAAATAATACTCATCGAGTGGATACGTTACGTACTAATTACGTAATGACATTTCGATTATAAATTAACACTGAGTAATTGGAAGAAAGAGGATTAATAATATTCAAAGTAATTATTCTAAAATGAAGAAGTTTCTGTGTTGTATTATATATGAAAAAAAGAAGGAACAGAATATTTTAATGGATGGTCAACAGAATAGTAGTTATGTCAGAATCAAGAGATGAATGTTGAGAAAAACACAAAGTTAGAAAAAAAACGGAATGGAAGAAGTATGAAAAATAGTTCTGCTGCGAGTACTTTTATACAGATGGCCAAGGTTGCGAAATTGGTTGTACAGACTTCTTTTGAATGCAAAGGTTAGGTTTGTGAACATGGATTGCGATGGCTTTCGTATGTTTATTCAAGCACATAAACACTATTACAAGAGGACACTAAATACATATGCACCACAAAATATCAATGACGTTGTCAAGAGATAGAGAAGGTAAATTGCGTATAATAAAAATATGAATAACAATGAACAGAAATTAGTGTATGAGAGTCTAATAATAATAATAATAATAATAATAATAATAATAATAATAATAATAATAATAATAGATGTAGTTCGGTTTGGAAAAGTACCACCAAAAAGAATTCTTTCAGTCAAAGAAATTACGCTCACATTTGTGGAGAAAGTCAAAGAAAGTTACAGCAGGACCGCCACTGACTTCTATTCTGACCCATTGACCTGGGTTGTTTTATTGATACAGGTATGATAGGTCTGATTCTGTGTAGTGTGATCC